CATAATCATTTTTAAAGTTTTTTGAATTTTTTGACGCAAATCAGCCAAAAATCAATTGCTAACATGTTTAAATAAAACTTCAGTGAAGATGTACCCTTGATAAGTGACAATTGTCAGAATCGTTATTTTTAAAGTTTTTTGAAGCAAATGGGCAAAAATAGAAATTGCTAACTTGTTAAAATAAGATATCAATGAAGATGTACCATAGATAAGTGACAATTGTCATAATCGTTGTTTCTAAAATTTTTTGAAATTTTTAGATACAAAGGTAAAAATATAGATTGTAAAAATGTCATTAAAATTTTATGAAGATGTACCATATAAAAGTGACAATTGTCATAATCGTTATTTTTAAAAGTTTTAATTTTTTAAAGCAAATGGGCTAAAATATAAATTGCTAACATGTTAAAATAATATTTCAGTGAAGATGTACCTTAGATAAGTGACAATAGTCATCATCGTTATTTTTAAAGTTTTTGAATTGTTTGACGCAATTGGACAAAAATATAAATTGTTAACATGTTAAAATAAAATTTCAGTCGAAACAAAAAAACAAATCGATATTTTCATTCTCATAATCGCTGCTCCTTTTATCCTGCTTAAAATTTGATTAAAATATGCAAAGTGATTATTAAAGATAGTTGTAACCTATGTTAAATTCTAAACTTTTAAGATATGGATTCACAATCTTAATCCTTTAATTAATAAATTTTAATTCTACATTATAAATATGTATAATCTTGCATACACAGTTAGCAAATATTTTTGTATACTCGTGGCAAAATAGTGCTGAGTCTGAATTTAGGGTAGGATTTTTATAGAAAGAACAAACCCTATGAATATTATTTAGTAATATGATACAATCAACATCCTATAAATTTAATGTTAAGATTTTATTATGGTTAAAATGGATTACAATCTATATTTTAACCCATTTACATTAAAGAACTTTAAAAATAACGATTATAAAAATTGTCACTTTTCAATGGTATATCTTCTTGAAATTTTAATTTAGCATGTTTACAATCTATATTATTACCCATTTGCAACAAAAAACTTTAAAAATAACGATTATGACAATTGTCACTTATCTAGGGTACATTTTCACTGAAATTTTATTTTAACATGTTAGCAATATTTATTTTAGCCCATTTCCGTCAATAAAATTTATAAAATAACGATTATGACATTTGTCATTTTTTTATGGTATATCTTAATGAAATTTTAATTTAACATGTTTCTAATCTATATTTTTATCTATTTGCGTTAAAAAAATACAAAAAACTTTAAAAATAATGATTTCGACAATTGACACTTACCTAGGATACATTTCACTGAAGTTTAATTTAAATATGTTATCAATATATTTTGGCCCATTTACGTCAAAAAAGGTTTACAAATAATGATTATAATAATTGTCACTTATCTAGGGTACATCTTCACTGAAGTTTTATTTAAACATGCTAGCAATATTTATTCTAACTCATTTTTGGTCAAAAAACTTTAAAAATAACGATTATGACAATTGTCACTTTTCAATGGTACATCTTCATGAAATTTTAATTTAGCATGTTTACTATTTATATTTTTACCCATTTACATCAAAAGAATTCAAAATAAAAACTTATCTATGGTACATCTTCACTGAAATTTTATTTAAACATGTTAGCAATACTTACTTTAGCCCATTTGCGTCAAAATTCAAAAAATTTATAAAATAACGATTATGACAATTTTCACTTTTCTATACATCTTCATGAAATTTTAATTTAACATGTTTACAATCGATATTTTTACTTATTTAGGTTAAAAAAATTTAAAAAGAATTATTATGATAATTGTCACTTATCTAGGGTACATCTTCACTGAAGTTTTATTTAAACATACTAGCAATACTTATTTTAACGCATTTTGATCAAAAAAATTCAAAAAACTTTAAAAATAACGATTATGACAATTGTCACTTTTCAATGATAGATCTTCATGAAATTTTAATTAAGCATGTTTACTATCTATATTTTTATCCATTTGCAACAAAAAAATTCAAAAAACTTTACAAACAACGATTATGACAATTGTAACTTATATCTATGGTACATCTTCACTGAAATTTTATTTTAACATGTAACAACTTATATTTTTGCCCATTTACGTCAAAAAATTGTAAATGGTACATCCTAATTGAAATTATAATTTAACATTTTAAAATACATATTTTTGCCCATTAGCGTTAAAAAAATCTAATATGTTTAAAAATACCGATTATGATAATTGCCATATTTCCAAGGAACATCTTCATTGAATTTGTAATTTAACATTTTTACAATATGAATGATATTTTTACCCTCTTGAGTCGATAAATTTCAAAAATCTTAAGAAATAACGAATATGACAATTGTCACATTAAATTCTTTTCCTTATAAATATTTAAAAAAAAAAATATTTAGAAAACCCACCTCTTATATTTAAGAAATAGATAATTTTACAAAAATTCTATAAAAGATTTCACCTAAAAATTGTATATTTATAATAAATTTCACAAAATAATTCCTCAAAAAAGATATATTTACAAAGAAGATTTAAAATTTTTATCAATATATGTTCAAAAATCTTTTTAAACTTCAAGAAATATTTTTTACTTAAAATCTTGGGCGTGAAAATCACTAATAAATTGTAACAAAAATAATATTACAATAGTAGCATATCATTTTAAAAAACATCAAATAATATATAATATGTTGTTTTCTTTTAAATAAATGCATTCGCAATATATTTATTCTTCGCGGTAATGCGCTCGCGATAATGACTTCGCGCAAACATATGATAAAAAATTCGCTGTAAAGTGTTCGCGTAAAATGTTTCGCTAAAATGTATTCGCTTTAATAAATTCGCGGTTAAGGTTTCGCGGAACTAAATTCGCGAAATTGTCTTCGCTATAAATGTTTCGCGGAGATAAATTCGCAGAATTGGTTTCGCGATTTTACCTTCGCTATAAAAACTTTTTGCGATAAAAGTTTCACGAAAAGGTGTTTCGCGATAAAAGTTTTGCTGAATTGACCTGATACGATAGAAAATAGTTTGGCATATGTATGTAAATTATAAAATAATTAAAAATGGCATGCTATTCTGATTGACATTTTAAGAATAAAATGTAATAAATAAAATATGATATTGATTTATAATTGACATTATGAAATATAATGATTATTTAGGATATTTATATAAATATTTTTTTCGGGTGGGACATCTCTTACAACCCGACCCGAACAATACTTATTAATGTCTGAACCCGACCCTCTCTACACAATAATACTGATAACGTAGAAATTGGTGGTTTGGATATTGGCAAAGGGTTAAGTCTGGGAAAAGTTTTGCTATTTGAGTGATATGCTACACAAATAGTGACGTAGATTCTGCTGTTGTTGCAAGGGTCAGACAAGCATGGAAGAAGTTCAGAGATATCGTCTATTCTAAAAAATAAAAACGTTTCCACGAAGTTAAAGGGAAGGTTTACGTAAACTGTGTGAGGAGTTGTTTAATTTATGGCGGCGAAACATGGGCAATGAAAACGGTCCACGAAGCCAAATTGGAAAAAACAAAGAGGATAATTAGATAGATGTGTGGGGTATCTCTGAGAGAGAGAAAAACTAACAAGGATGATTAGAGTGGTAATGCGAAAAAATAGACTAAGATGGTTTGGGATGTGGAACATAAGGCAAAGGATGACTGGAAGATACACCTTGAAGGAAATAGAAGGATCAAGCCCTAGAGGAAGGCCTAAGATGACGTGGGTAAAGGTAACGCGGATATGAGAAAGATGAATCTTACAAATACTGATGCTCAGAACCGTCAAAAATGGAAAAGAAAAATCAGAGGGAAGACTGGTAAACATGGGTAAATCTGAAAATCGCCATTAAACGAAGAAGGTTTATAGATGATCTTTATTTTCAAAAAAACTAATTCATCTTCACAAAAATCTTTATTCAGATTCTAATCAAATTTTTTTTCTATCAGATTTTAATTTGAATTCATATTTTACCTCCATGTTTTTTTAGATTTGAGCTGCTGAACATCGAGGTTGAAATAATTGAATTAGGGCACAATCTACACTTACAAAGTGTAGACTTATTGCCCTTAATTTTCTTTATTTGTGGTTTCATACAGGAAGGGCATAATTGAAATAGATTATTATTGACAGAATCTTTTTAAATAAATTATAATATTAGAGAATAAATAATAGCATACCATGATTGATTCAATATTAATAGATTAACAATCTTGACTGTATAATTCAACAACAAAAATATATTAAATAAAAAATGAAGAACTTTAGCGATTGATCTGATTTAAAAACTCAGCTTAAATTAAATTTAATCAAATATAATAATTTTTAAGAAAAAATTAATGTTTTGTGTTAGTTACTCAAAAAAACGGGTTATCTGTTATCTTTTGAAACAAAAACGAAAGACCTTTCCTTTTTCACAAAAAGGTAAAGCCGTTAGACCTTACCTTACAGCACTAATAAAAGTGCATGTTCTTTCCAAATTAGAGCCCTTCCCAATTATCTTTATATTACATTTAAAATTATCATCACTGCATAATTTTAAAACAATATGACAAAAAATATCAAATAATACATCGGGGATTTGTCTTAAAACCTTGCTAAATCAAACAATAACTTTTAAATTTTTTATAAAAAAATTAGTAAAATATAATACAATATTTTATTTCCCTCCTTCTCCAATAAACGATATTTTATTTAAAATAATTTAAATTCTCTTTACCTTTATCTGATAGTGTTTATTAATTCTGGAAAAAATATAGCTTTTATTAATACTTTGTAAAAAGATTTTCTAGCTTTATTCAAAATGAAGATTTTCAAAAAACAAAGTTTCCAAAAGTGCATACATATTAAATGCATAAACCTTAATCATGGATAACCTGATTAATAATTGCTTAAAATATTTGCCAGCAAAATTATACAGTATTTAATGGTTTGTGAATTGATGTAATAATGGGTTAAATTCAAGGAAGTTATATATTTAATGGTTTGTGAATTGATGCAATAAAAGGTTATATTCAAGTGAGTTATAGTTAAATTATCAGCGATAGTTGTCATCGATTAACCACAATTTTTCATATTTGTAGAATTAAATTCGACATTAGTTTCGTCATCAAAATTTATCTTATGATTATTTTCAGATTGTTTCACGTGATGCGATGCGAAGCTAAGTTTGTCACGGTTGAATTCAATAGGTATCATCCCTAAATCTCCATCAAACCTATTTTTCGTGATCTAAACATATGAGTAAAATAAAAAATTATAAATCAAATTCAATTCATAATTAGTCATTCATAGGTTCATATTACAAATTGACTTTACTGATCAATTTTTTTTTCACAGGTCGATTCAATTCAGAGACTTCATGGGCCGGATATGGGTCTAATATTATATTTTCTAACAGGCCTGGGCCGGGCCTGGATTAAAAAAAATTTTTTAATGGGCTTGGGCCTAAAATTATTAAATTTAAATTAGATTATTTAAAACAGTTGCTAATTTAAAGAAATATTGCCTTTTTTTCTTCTAATAATAATAAATTTCAATATTGTAAACAAAACGATTGTCTAAATATATTTAAATATTGTTTATTTCATTAAATAAAAAAAAATTAAATTTTTGGATATGAGCATGAGTGGGGTTTGGGAAATTTTTTTGAAACTTATGGTCTTGGGAATTTTTTTTAACATTAGATATAGGCCGGGCAGGGCTTGGGCCTAAAAAAAATTTTACTGCGGGCCTGGGTCGGGCTTGGTCAAAAAATTAAGGCCCGTGAAGGTCTCTGATTTAATTATAAACTAATATTTTTGTTTAGTGGTTATTTCATGACTAAAAAAGTTGTTTTTTGTGTTTGTAACCTGGATATATTTCTTTTTAGGCATATGAGACATAGAACTTTTTTCTTGGAGGATTAAAACATTGTCAGCTTCTTGAGTCGCCTTTATTCCACCAAATATAGACTGATTGGTCAATTCCTCCGATATTTCCTTACCATATTAATTAATATATTTTTTTTGTCGGATATTTATTTATATTTTTTGTAATTATATTTTTTTGTGATAACTTTCAAAAGTACTTTGTATTTAAGATGCCACAAAATAAAAAGTATTTGTATCGATTAATTGAAAGAGATACAATTTTAAAATTATCAATAATTAAACTTGTGATAGAAAAAACTATAATATTCTTACCTTATTATGTCTAGTGAAGGTCAAATTTAATTGGTATAAAATTATAGATGCGTCTCATTATTTATTTGTCAAAAGGAAATCAAAATGGTCTAAACATCTTCTTACTCATAATGAACATCTCTCCTTATTATCTGAATCTTGACCAAGGTCTTTTGCTCTGCTATTTAAGATACCTATAAAATGAACTATATTAACCAATATTTAACTTTTATAAGGTTGCACTTAAATGGTGTTAGGACCAGGAACTACTAATATATACTTAGGAAAAAGTCCGATTAAAAAAGAAAAAGTGTCAATCAAAAAAAAGGTTCCAAAAGAAAAGAAAAATTCTCATTCGAAAAAGGAAAATAGTTATTTTTTTAAATATTTTTTAAAAATATTATAAATTTTCTTGTCAAATTTTTTATTTTTCTTAATTTTCTCAGTTTTCGTTCTCTGTTTTTTAATCATTTTTTTAACTTTATAAATATAATTTCTTTATTTTGCTTTCTTCCCTTCTCTATTTTTATGTTATTTTTAATAATTCTTTCTTTTTTTTCATCCTACATTAACAATTTTATGATTTTTTTCTCCTTTAAATTTCACTTAATTTTTATTTCTCTTCGAAAATTAAATTTTTTCTTGTAAATATTTTAATGACTCTAATAATTGACGCGTTAATAAAGAATAGTATATTAAATGTTTTAAAAAAAGATATAAAAAACAAATTAAATAATCCGAACTCAAAAATGAAATAAAATATAGTTTACCCAACTGACTCACGTGCATGAAAGAAATTAAATCAAGAACAAGAAGAATATATTCTAATTGCAAAAATTTGGATGGTACTTTATACTTTAAAGAGTTAGGTGAAATGATAATGATATATGATGTAGAAATATCAAAAAATATGGTAACAAGGTTACTGACTGGATTTAAGTATAGTTAGAAAAGGGTATCACTACTTTCAGTTAGAGAAAACACCGAATCAATATATCGAGATTCACAAAGAATACCCAAATTGGTTTGTGGATATTGCCTATATGAAAGAAATATTTATTTTTATCGATAAGATGAGATATTCATAAATAAATAAAAAAGGCTATTAAAAATGTCCAAAGGATAAAGAAAATGAATTATAATATCATTACTGCTCCATAATTGGGGAATATTTGGATTAGAAATTTTGATGGCCCCTGCAACGCTATACAAATTAGCCACATTGTAAATGAAATATAAATCATTTTGAAGAAAGTAATATCATAAATATAATTTTTGTTATGGATAATGTTCCATTTCATAATAACCATACAAATAGGTACAATAAAATATTTACCACAATATCGCGCTTATCTTAATTCCATGAAAATGTGTTTTTTCTATGGAAAATTCTGTCAGAAATCAAAATACTAGTGAGAGGAATTAATTCGTTAAGAATGCAAAAAGTTATTTCTATGGAGTAGTGCTGCGTAATCGGCTAAAAACTACGCCTAAGCCTAATTAGGCTCAGCCTAACTGCTATATTGTAAAAATGTAATATTCTCTTTAATATAATTTATTAGTGATTTTCACAATCTTCTTTGTAAATACATCTTTTATTGAGGAATTATATTGTAAATTTTATTTTTTTTAAAAATTATCTATTTTTTATTAAATGAGGTGGATTTTATCAAACTTTTTTGATGTTATTTTATATGATCTTTTTAAGGATAATATTTTAATGTGACAATTGTCATAATCGTTATTTTATAAGTTTTTTGAATTTTTTTGAAGAAAATAGGTTAAAATAAGTATTAATAACATGTGTAAATAAAAATTTAGTGAAGATGTACCAATGAAAAGTGACAATTGTCATAATCGTTATTTTTAAAGTTTTTTGACGACAATATGTTAAAATAAATATTAATAACATGTGTAAATATAAATTTAGTGAAGATGTACCAATGAAAAGTGACAATTGTCATAATCGTTAATTTTAGAGTTTTTTGACGAAAATGTTAAAATAAGTATTAATAAGATGTGTAAATATAAATTTAGTGAAGATGTACCATAGAAAAGTGACAATTGTCAATAATCGTTATTTTTAAAGTTTTAGGAATTTTTTTGACGAAAATATGTTAAAATAATTATTAATAAGATGTTTAAATAAAAATTTAGTGAAGATGTACCAATGAAAAGTGACAATTGTCATAATAGAATTTTGACTAATATAATTTTAGCCGATTTATAGGCTTAGTTGGACGATTTTTAGGCTTACCTAATTAGACATAGCCGATTTTTTCACCTAAAAACTCGGCTAAGCCGTTTTGTAGTCGGCTAAAATTATCCGATTATGCAACTACGCAACACTAATATGGAGACCTATATTTTAAAATGTAGAAGAGGGGAAATTATTAATATAAATTTTTGTTTCTTACTATATATGTTAGCCGTAATATATTATTTTTCAACTTTAAATCATTTTTTGAGCGCGTTTTTTAATTTTTAAAATACTGATTTTTCTGGAAATATATTCCAGCCTCTATCTTATGAATTGTAGGTAATTTTACCATTAAACTTAGAGTCATTTATAATTTATATAAAATCTATGTAAATTGCGAATTAAATTAGGTTAAAAAGTTCATGACACTAATATGAAATTCTTATTTTAAAAAACGCACTATGATTCAAAGTTGAAAAAATAACACATTGCCGCTAATATATATACATCGTAATTGTAATGAAATAATTTGAAATGCAAAAAATATTAATAAAAAAAATTTAATTACCAAAGAGAAATAAAAATTAAATGAAATTTCAAAAATAAAAATATAAGGAGAAAAAAAATCATCAAAAGTCAAAAAATTGCTATATGTAAGATGAAAAAATGGTTAAAAATTGGGAATTGAACAAAAATGACAGGAAAAATAATTATATTATTTTTAAAAGACAAAAATGAATGAACAAAAATAAGAAAAAAAAATTGAGAAAATTTTTACTAAGCCTTTGAATTTTTTCCTTTTATGATTGAGACTAGTGTTTGCAACGGTCCGGTCCAGTCCGGTCTTATTAGACTTTTCGGTCCTGTGGGACGGTCCCGTCCAACAACACGGTCCCACGGTCCGGTCCGACCGAAGACCGATTAAAGAATATAAAAGTTTACTATAAATTGCTTTATAGTTAATGTGTATGTACATGAACATATAAAATATGATTATTTAATGCCTAACACTATATAATATCTAATTCATCGTTTACTTTTTATATTCTTCCGTTTCATTAAATTCAATATTCATAGTTTACTTTTTATATTCTTCTTTGATTAGGCATTTGTGTATAATATAATAAAAATGAATTGATGATATAATTGAAATATTAATAGGGTAATTTAACTATTCATTTTTAATAAATTTAAATGCAGAATAAAACTTTTGTAGCTTTATAAAAAAAAATTTTTAGGTGGGACCGGACCGCCTGGACCGGACCGGACCGACGGTCCCACGGTCCGGTCTCATTTGACTTAACGGTCCATCGGTCCGGTCCCATTTTAGGAAAAAAAGACCGGACCGGACCGTTGCAAACACTAATTGAGACGTTTCCTTTTTTGGATAGGAAACCCTGTAAGAACTATATTAAAATAAAATTTAAAACCATACAATGAGAAGATATTAAAACTAAAAAAAATATATATATAAACTCCATAGAATTATGGATTGATGATAAGTTTGATCTGCATATTTAAACCAATCCTGGCGCAGATAAAAGTATTCTTTTGGATAGCCAGAGAGCTTTTTTCCTACTGATTTTTAAAAGGCGATGGTCTCATGTCCGAAATTTTTTTAAAAAACGCAAAAATAGTAAAAACAAAAAACTTTCTTTATTACTGATAATAAATTGAATAGTTGCCGATTTTTTTTGTCCTAAATCAATATGGAAGCCTTTGAGACTTTAAAAAATGGGTCCAGTCTTTTGATTTCGGTCCGGCCTTTGACCTTCATTAGTATATACATTAAGTGAATCCCGGAAAAAACCCCCAGGAAAATATACCCTCAGGAAAAAAAACCCCTGGATTTTTTTTCCCATATTTATAGAATTTAATTAAAACCTAATAATATTGTTGTTAAACGGCTAACTCAATATTTTAGCCAAAAAAATATTGCTTATGCCTCGAGATTTTGATAATATATGTCTAAACCTTTGTTCCTTCTATGAGTAAATTCTTCAGGCTTGCGTAATATTTTTCGGGATTAAATATTAAGTTAGCCGTTTTTAAAAATCGGCTCAAAAATAGCCACAACACTACCTAATAATATAGACATATTTTTATTTGGATTATAATGGATATATACACATATTTATAATGTATAGATAAATTAGTATTTTAGAAAAAAATATTATAAATAAGCTAAATTTATTTAGGCCCTAATTCATTATTTAAAGATTACTCATATACCCTTCCATAAAAAATACTTAAATAAGATAAAATGCTGAAGTTCAAATCGGTACTGAGAAAAAATACCCCAGTAAAATAACCCATGTATTTCTTATTTTAGTAAAAATTATTTTCTATAGTAATAAATACAAAATCCATCCTTAATTACGAAATTAGTAGACTAAATTTGACAAATTTTGTAATAAAATATATTAATTTTATTGATAAATCATGATTATGTATATACAAATTTAATAATTTAGAATAATAATTATATTGATTAACATCGAATATTGTAGGAAATCACTCTTATAAAATCTGAAAGGCTTCGCACCCCATCACGATATTCCTCGCAAAGTTTCTTTAACCGAATTTGAGTATTATAACTCTGCGATTTTTTTTTCAG